GTGTGTGTGTGTGTGTTTGTGTGTGTGTGTGTGTGTGTGTGTGTGTGTGTGTGTGTGTGGGTGTGTGTGTGTGTGTGTGTGAGAGAGATACTTGCCAGACCGTATATTGAGAGTACTCACCTGTACTGTAATGTAGACATTATTGGCTGTGAGGTATTTGGGTGGTCCTGGGGGAAAATGTTGCTTTGGCTGGCGTGTGTGTGTGTGTGTGTGACAATTGTTCAATCTCCTCCCAGGGGGTCCAGGAGCTGGGAAGACAGGTAAACNTGTGTGTGTGTGTGTGTGTGTGTGTGTGTGTGTGTGTGTGTGTGTGTGTGTGTGTGTGTGTGTGTGTGTGTGTGTGTGAGGATTGAACAATTGTCACTCACTCACACACACACACACACACACACACACACACACACACACACACACACACACACACACACACACACACACACACACACACACACACACACCATGTATACATCACTTCAGGGGACATTACATTGACTTACGGGCATTTCCTGGAGATTTATCCTAACCTTAACCATAACCAACACATGCCTAACCCTAACCAAGTCTTCATCCTAAAATTAATGATTCCCCTCATGGGAACCTCCAATTTGTCCCCATAAGGGAAACGAGTCCCCACACGTCACACACACACACACACACACACACACACACACACTAAACTGGACTTACCTCCTCCTCATCTTTGGCCAGAAGCTGAGCACAGGTCAGAAAGTCTTCGTATTTGGAGAAGGGAATGACGGGTTCAGGCAGCTCTCGCAGGTACAGCTTCAGCAGCGACGCCACCGTGTGGACGTCTGTGTTACTGCGAATGATTATATAGAGAGAAAGGTGTTTACTTCTATCATTTGTATCCTTAAGGAGAGGTACTTTAGTTTTTTTGACTTTTCATTTTAATAACTCAGTTTGTCCATACACGTAATTTGTTCAAAATACAAACCTTTTTAAAAAAAAAAATATTATCAACAAGAAAATAAATACTAAGAAACATGCCTTTCCTTTAATCAGGAAGCAAAATAAATACAAATAAATAATACAAAAAAACAACAACAAATACATATTTAAATGTTAACGTAAAAATAAATCAAAATTCATAACTAATGATAATAAGGGGTGTTATAATAAAAAAAACTACACATAAATAATTACAAAAAGACTAAATAAATAATAAAGTAAGAATAAATCAAAATTCATAAAAATAAAAAAGACATGAAGGGGGATTTTTAATTAAAAAATACTGACATATTTAGATTTATATTAAAGCTAATTGCAGTATACTCTTCTCTCTCTACCTGTCGAACAGAGGCTTGTCTCCGCAGTCGAAGGCCTCCTGCAGCTCCTTCACCAGGTTGGCCTGCCCTGGCATCCTGAACAGACCCTCCTCATCCAGACCCCTCTCCCTGATGAAGTCAACGCACTGCTCCACCAGCAGGGGGGCCAGCCGGGGGCCGAACTTCTTCTCATACTGCACCGTGTCCTCCAGACGCTGGCCAAATATCCCTGTGGACAGACGGAGGAAACCTGGAGCTTATTGTTTGGGCTTTAGGTCCGTCAGAGAGGAGGGGACGGTGAAGCTTAAATCTAAAAGAGGAAACTCCAAATATGACTTGATATTTTGGACGTAGTACTCATATATTTTTCTTTAGTTAAAAGTACATTATTAGCTTCAAATTATAATAAAAAATACCAAAAGTAATTATGCATAAACTTATATTCCTCGAATTAACCTAAACTTTGCCTGTTTTTAAAAATATTTGTAGCTTTGTCCCTCACTTGAGGCCATTTTGTTTTGTTGATGTCAAGTTATGATTTTGCATCTGTTGGAGAAAATACAAGGTGTCTTCTTTATTATGGGCTTTCTGATGGGCATGATACCGTGTGTGACCTTGCACTGCGTGACCTTGCAGCTGCCTCCTCGTAGATAGGACAAGGCAGGGCATCATTCATGTTGTTGATACCAACGAGAGCACACACACTTTGTCTCCTCTGCTCTTTGAGGGGCAAAGAGCAACACTGCCTTTCCAGAGATGTCCCGACGCCTGATGACGCCGGACCGATTTACGACACTGTTTGGTATCTCCTGACTTTACACTATATAAGCTTGATGTTACTTCCTGATCCTTTGAGCAGCATACCTCGTGTGTGTGAGTTGAACCATATCCTTTGTATGTGACTGAACTCTGCTCCTTCTTGCAAGAATGAATTAGTACCAGCTGACTATTGATTCTCATCCCGATGTCGAGTGATATTTTCCTCACAATAATAGAAACTATTAAAGGATTATGAATAGAATAGTTGCAGCTCTAATATACTGTGTTTTTGATTTCACAGAAAGGTATAAAGCATGTAATCTTTTTCATTTGATCTCATTGATATCGGCGTCATTTAATATTCACTTTTCGACAGCATCATCAGATTAAGTTACTGTTAATACAATCTGC